GGGTCCCGCGCCTCTGAGGCTTTGCTCTGGCAAAGCCTCAGAAGCGCGGGAACCCGCCCGGTGCCCCTCGTCTGCTGGAGACGGTCTCCAGCAGACCAGGGGCACCGGAGCAGCTTACGAACGGGGCTTTCTCGCCCCAACTTCCGGGGCGAGAAAGCTCCGTTCGTAAGTGCGGATCCGACGTAAGTCGCATCCGCGTAAGTCGGGGACTGCCTGTAATGGCTGCAGAATTTCAGCTTTCATTAAAAACAAGAAATATAACAGCCTACGTTTTTAGGTTTTGAAGACAAGTTAAAAAATGTGATCCAACTGATCAGTGATACTTGACTGAGTATGGAGTTGCTTGCCTTATTCATCTCAGTAGGGTATTAACACCATGATCTAATGTTCTGGGTCTCTGCCAATAGCACTCTCTTTGAGGACTGGGGAAAAAAAGATTGCAGTGGACCTGGCTCACCCAAGGACCCACACTGTTGGGATAAATACAAGGCTGATACACAGACTGGAATTTCCTGCCACTGCCACTCCATTTGGCAGAGTAGCTTAATCGAGTGTGTTCTTATTAACATGGGTTTGCAAACATATTTTTTAAATACTGAAATATTTTCACCATACTCTCTGCGGCCGGTCATACAGATTTCTAGAAGCCTCTGTGAGCTATATTGGGTAAATATGTAATCCCCAATTTTGTCAGACATTTCCCCTTCCCCCTTGCATAGAAGACTGCCTGTATGGGAATTTTAGGTCATAAACAAGACCTGTTTCTCTCTTCTGTGTTTGTAAAGCACCTAGCACAAGAGGGTCCTGCTCCATGATTTGTGCTTCTAGGCACTACTGCAGCCAAATAATAAAGAGAATGAGCCTGAACTTTGACTTTTTTTTTCTTCTGTCACTTTGTATTTCAATTAGGGTTATATAAGTACAAAGATAGGTTTGGTCTCTGACTCCATGTGGAGGGTCAGAGGAAGAGAAGGGTCAGACTAAATTAGAAGATGATTGTGACTGCTGGTTGCATTAGCCGCATTAAATGTAGGGTCCATTTCATTGTTTATATTACGGAACCTAAGATGGTTTTTCAGTAAATAGAAAAAATAAATTAGATGTTCAACTTTTCTTTAATTCATTTGGGAGTCCATGCACAAATGTATGTGAGGGCCAGGGAAGGGTTGGGGGAGAAGTATTGTGCTTTGCTTGTATTTCCAAAGTTCTTTGGCATCTGTTCGGCATGTCTTCATGGGCATTCATTGTTTTCAACCACTCATTGTGTTTGGTTATTTACATTTTTGTCCCTTCCACACTTGCTAGACTGTTGTTTGAAAGTTGTAGGCTTGCAATTCATTTCATTTCAGGAACAGATCATGGGAGTGTGGACAAAAAGCTTTATCTTTTGCTATTTATGGAGGACTTTGCTACTCATACTACTACTCATATCGCTTGAATTTGTCACTGTGTATAAGGTTATATTTTCCAATTTGGAAAAGTTTCACAACTGCACCTCTAGAAGAGCTCTGAGTCAAAATATGATGATAATTGTCTAATGTGCCTCAGAACATGCTTTATTCCATTGTTGAAATATGTCAGTAGCTGCCTTTTAATGCAGTTAGATTATTTGAAATGTACTCTTGAAATATGAAAGGGGATTTATGTTTGAGAGACAAGCTGCTAACCATGTTCTAATGATTGTTGAATTGTATGACAAATGAAGTTGCTGGAAATTAGGAATTCTATCACAACAGGGTAAAGGAAATAATGTCCTTCTTTTAAGCAGACGTTTTGCCATGGAGGCTCTTAAAATTAGTATATGACAACGAGGCCAAATCTGTTTATGTAACTGATACAGTGTGTCATTTGAAAGTACCTAAATAATAGCTTTTAGGTCTGTTAGGTATTTTTGTATGGATACGTATGGGTCTCTTTCTGCTCAGATTCTAAGACTCTTCAACATTTTATTTAAATCATTCTCTGGCACTTTAGCATGAAGAGCTATTTAAAAGTACTCTGGATCTATCATTGACTCTGTAAGGCTCTATTGTACCTCAGTTTCCTCCTCAGGTATAGAACATAACATGCAAACATAACAGGTGCAGTGTGATGTTGGCATACATAATGCATGTTTGTAAACATGCTGGGCTCCTTTGCTTGAAGGCAACACATTGAAGTGCACAATAAAGACACAACTCTGTTTTGATGGTTATGGATGATGATGCAGGGTGCACTTCCATCTGAAATAATGTTTTCAGACTGTGATTAGGAGGAGAATTGTTTTTGAACAGCCACAATGAAAGCCATGGACAGGTGCTGAATTATTGGCAAAAGCAACTACAGGAGTACGGAGAGAAATGGACTGGGAAGCTCTGAGTACCCTGGCAAAAATGGGAGGGAATGTATAGGGGAGCACTGTTTACACTTGGAGGAAGGGCCTGCAGTTTGTCTCTCCCACCCTTTTGTTTAACCACGCTTTCATGGATTATTATGTGCAGGTGTGTCACAGAACTGGTCTGGCTACTCCTTCTTGAGGCTCACCAGACTTTGTGTATGGGGATGCAGCCAGTGAATCCTGGGTGTTTCAAGACCTCTGTCTTCCCCATGTGTCTGAAGAGTCTGTTCAGAGACCCTCGCGCTACACAGCAAACACACAAACCCTTGAGAGATGTGGCCATATGGCCAGCTGCCTAGTCCTTGGGACCTCAGAATCATCCTGCAGCTAATGTATGACCTCTCCCAGAACTCCAACCAAAAGTGAGAACCTTCTGGTTTCTCTCTTTAAGGGCCCACTGATACTTTGTGCAGAATTTTTAGTTGCATGAAAAACATACAGCTCATACAAAAATTAAAAACCCTGCATGTACTTCCCTACCTCAGGTTCTTCACCACTCAAAAGCACTCTTTTGGCTGGAATCAGAATCCTTTTGGCCCACCTAGAGTCATGTGCTGCAGTGTATGGCTTTCTGAAACACTGAGCCTTTTCTCTTGTATCCTCAGCATGCATCCTCTGACCTTGGCTGGTCCATCACCTTCTACACCAACTCAAACTTCCTGTACATCTTAAGCCAAGTCCCTGTGGAGATGAACACCATAGGAAGGTACCACCTCAGAAGGCTAAACTGGCAGCTTCCCTTCTGGATCCTGAGGCTAGGTGTACAATAAACTCTACCACATCCAGGGAACACATCTGCTCTTCTGCTTTTTTGTGTGTGTCCTGTCTTCCTCATTCTATGAGGAAGAAGGGCTCTTCCTTAAAAGGTTTTTCTGAAATTTGGCCCAGTGTAGACAGGCCAAATTTCAGAAAAGTATCTTCCGAAAAAACTATCAGAAAAAGGTAGACAAATTTCCCATAAATCTTTGTAGTCTAGACATAGCCTGCATGATTCGGATACTGTACTTGGGTTAAATCTAGCAGAAGTTCCAAGAAATGTATGTTCAGTGAGGTTGATTCCCCTGCCAGCTGTAGAGATGGACCTGTCTCTTGGCTCACTTTCAGACTCCTGTCTCCAACTTGGACTCTTGGCTTCTGCCCTTGAACTGCAACACCAGTGCTGACCCACTTCCGTATTTGGACCCTGACTGGTATTGAGACTCTAGCTTTTGACCTCAGGTTTTCATACTTTGACTATTACCTTGGCTTTACCTCCTGAATGCTGGCTCTGTTCCTGACCTTTGGCATCAATACTGGACCCTGAATCCAGTTCCAAACTCAGTAACCAATTTTAAACCCCCACCAAAGTTTTAACTCCGGATCTGGACACCTCAGTTCTGGTTCCAGATTGCCCAAGTTTCAGGTGACACCATTATAAATGAACAGTTTCCAGAGATCCATGGGGCTCTCACAGTAAGAACCCCTCTAAATTAACCCCATTGACTATATTGGTACTATGTGATTAACAAATGTTCGGTTCTCTGGCAATCCCAAGGAACTGTAATAAAAATGTTTTGGGTGACAATGAAAATGTTCAGGATTTTTGGAAAATTTATAAAGCTGAAAAGAAAATCGTTTTGTATTGAAAGGAACATTAAGTATCTGATTACAATTTCAGCCTTCATTAGAGGGTTTCTCTCTCTGTGTGTGTGTGCGTGTGTGTGTGTGTGTGTGTGTGTGTGTGTGTGTGTGTGTGTGGCCAAAGTAATTTTGAACCAATTTTTTTTTTCAAATTGAAACACTGAAGCAAAATATTTGAGGGTGGGTGGGTGGAAGGCTTGTTTATTGTGATGCAGAAAATTCTGAAAAATAGACGGTGTTGCAAAATCTCTGAAATAAAGCTCTGGCTAAAAAAAAAACTTGCTCTAGCCTGCAGTATATCTTGTGCAAAGTTCATTGGGCTTTGTAAATGATGGAGGTCACTCTTTTGTAAAAAGTAACTTTTGACAACTGTATCTTCTCCCTTTGCTGCTGCACCACTGAAAATTGTACTTTACACCTGCTCTCTATTACTGTACCAAAGACCTGAAATATCAATCCATTTCTACTTTCTTTACCAATTGTTCGTGAATGCACATATAACAACAGCTTCTTTAATGCCTGAAGAGGAGCCAAGAAATACAATCCTGTTGCAATTTTCTGAAACAAACTGCCAACACAGCACCCCTGATTTCCTCATTTGGTATCTAATGAGGAAGAGTGATGTCATAAACCTACTGGCTTCTTGAATTTTTTTTCCCATCCATAATCTAATTACAGGCACAAATACAGAGACAAAATGTGGCATATGCACCCTGGCTTGATGTGCTGTTCTCTTTAAGGAGCTCAGGAAGGGACAGTGTGCAGGGGAATTCTGAAGGATGGTGCAGCTTATTCTTTCCAGACAGCCTATTTGATTTATGTGACTATGAACCTGACTGCTTCCCTCTCCCTGTTTGTTCATATGCAACCTGGTAGGGAGAGGCCAGTTAAATATTTATATTCCAGTTCAAAGAACATATTAGTATTTGTGATGAGCAAATAGCAAAAGATTCAGTGATATCACTTGAGACACATCAGAATCTCTGATCTGGATATTCGATGGGAAATCTCATAAGATAAAATCTCCGATGAGACTTTCAGCACTTTCTGATTTCAGCTAATATTCCCAAAATAGCCTCTATTGATGCTTATTTAATATGTGAGCATTTTGGCTTCTAGTCTTGCACACTGCCCTTCCCACCCTCCCAACACACCCACAGCAGTCTTATTCTTTAAAAACTTTCTGAACTTAAAAAAAGACTTTGGTTCAATTCAGTGCCAAGTTTTGCCATTTTTATTGGCAATACTATCATTGTTTGTTTGTTTTAACTGCCCCAGTGTAGATGAGTGTGCATGTGTGAGGGGCAGTCTGTGTGTTTAGTGATAAGGAAATATAGGTTTAAGCAGTTCATGAGACACAAAATCATGAAGTTTATTTGTGAGGTTCTTTTCTTGCCTTTAAATTGAAACTCCTTAATTATGGAAAAGAGCTAAAAGGTTTTGGTGCTTCTTTTCTTTTTTTATAATTGCATTGTGTTCTATTGTCTTTTAAAGACTTTTCTCAAACAAAAGAAGTTTCAGGTAGGAGAAAATAAATCTCTTTGCTGGGTGCTTTGAACTTGTTTGTGAATGAACATTGATGCTCTGTTATAATCCTTTAAATGAAAATAAATACAATGGTGAAAGTTTGTTTGTGTCAAACTTGAAGATGAACTGTAGCTCAGCAGTTTCTCTTTGAAGTCTGGTCCTGAAGTTTTCTAAAGGTAGCCATCCTGCAGCAAAAAAACTGCAACAAACATGTGGACAAGGGAGATCCAGTGGATATAGGATACTTAGATTTCCAGAAAGCCTTTGACAAGGTCCCTCACCAAAGGCTCTTAAATAAAGCAAGTTATAATGGGATAAGAAGAAAGGCCCTTTCATGTATTGATAACTGATTAAAAGACAGGAAATAAAGAGTAGGAATAAATTGTAAGTTTTCAGAGTGGAGAGAGGTAACTAATGGGGTCCCCAAGGGTCTTTCCTGGGACCAGTCCTATTCAACTTATTTATAAATGATCCAGAGATTTGTCCCTTTCATATGTGTTCATTTTTTTGATTGTATCCTTTGGTAATTATGGTCATGCCAATTTTCTTCCACTATTTGATCTGAGGAAGTGGGTCTGACCCACGAAAGCTCATCACCTAATAAACCATCTTGTTAGTCTTTAAAGTGCTACATAGTCCTGTTTTTTGTATTTACTGTTGTGTGTCATTTGTTTTGTGGGCTCCATCCAATACCAACTGTATAGCCGTAAGAATGTCACATAGGCTGCAGCTCCGTGCTGATTGGGTCCCAAGTATCCTACAAGATGAAAACCCCAGCAATAATCTGTTATGAATCTGAGCATGGCTGTGAAAATTGACAATTGTAGGTCCTCATCTCTGCCAATGGTGTCCTGACCTCTCCTTTCTCTCCCAACAGAGTTAGATAAAATGGCACAAGATGAGATCAGGGAACCAATGAACTACTCCAGAGATGGAGGCACACTATGCTGTGTGGCTGCTCAGAGCAAATGCCCAAGCAGCTTATTGGGCTCTAGGGCCCTTAATCAGACCTTTCTTAATTCACCATCTGTACTATAATGTGCCAAAGCTGCGCCCTCTACTCCCACACAAAGAAGACTTCCTGGATATCAAGTGGAAGGAGAAATAACTCACCCAGAAGCCTCCCAATTTTATTATCTGGGGAAAAAAATCCCTTCTAGATCCCCAAAGAGGTAGTGAGCTGAACCTCCAGTATCACAGGAAATCCAGCAGACTAGGTTAAAGATGGGGCTAAAACAGGAATCCCTTATGCCCAGGAAGCTGCCTATATCCCTTTTCAGACAGGAACCGATCGTAGAACCTTGCACCATCCCTCACCATCAGCAGCAGTGGGTGATACAAGCCCTCACACCTGGATATTGCATGGATTTTTCTTCCTTCCACTTGCCCCTCTCACCACACCACTATAAGGAAAAGCAGACAAAGAAAAGGCAGAAACAGAGCCTGGCATGGTGTGTATATAAGAGGGTCTTGGGTAATGCTGCCCCCAGCCCAGCAGATTCCCCAAGTAGGAGTATCACTGTTGCTTGCTGGTGGAGCAAGAGAGATGTGGAGGCAAGGTAATCATTTTTAATTGCTCTTAATATTTCTCCACTAGCATATCTCATCGATCTCAGATGTTTAGTTTTGGATTTTGTCACTTGCTATTACATTTATAACCTATTTTTACATATTGTATCAACACTGTTCACAATACAATAAGTTAACTTATACATTTTAAATGTATATATAATTATTTAAAATAGAGATTGAAGTAGGCAGCACTCACTAAAAGACATTTCCTATCTACAGTTATGATCTGTGCTTAATTTTCCCTTTAAAAAGAAAAAAGAATGGTGGGTTTAAAAATATTTTATACCATTCTTTTTTCTTTTTAAAGGGAAAATTAAGCACAGATCATAACTGTAGATAGGAAATGTCTTTTAATGAGTGCTGCCTACTTCAATCTCTGTGTCCCACACTGTGAGTTATTAGGGGTCATTCAAATTTACATCTGAATTTCACAGATGTTGAAACTATCCAAGCAGGCAGCATAAATATTGATCACCTCAAAGCCAAAGCCAAGGATAGACCAATAATTATTTTAAACACTTTGAGAAAGACAGATGTGAAAAACTGATTGGAAGAAAGGGCCACATGCCATGCCAAGTGTTCAGTAGGAACCTATGCATTCCTATGTGATGTTTGTCTAACTTGACATTCATCTGACAAAGTGTGTCTTTGCCCATGCAAGCTTATGCTCCAATACATCTATTAGTCTATAAGGTGCCACAGGACTCCTTGTCACTTTGTCTAACTTGTTTCTCACAAACTGAACTATACTGTTACAAAAGACGACATGAGATGCTAGGACAATCATTGAATACAATGGACAGCCGGACTACTAACTGTGGCCTGAATGAAGAGTGTATATTGATTATTCAGGTTGGCTACGTCTACATTGGCCCCTATTCCATAATAGGGATGCAAATGTAGCACTTTGGAATAGGCAAATCCGCGCGGGATTTAAATATCCCCTGCGGCATTTGCATTAACATGGCTGCCGCTTTTTTCCAGCTTGTAGATAAGCCGGAGAAAAGCGCCAGTCTGAAT